AAATGTGATAAAAGTTCAAATATTGTATTCCTCTTTTTCCTGTGGACCCCCTACGATCCACTCAAGGACCCCTTTTACGTGCCGTTTCTATTATTTAGTTAGTTTAGTTTAGTAACAGCTGCCCGGTCTACGCCCTCTTAGATTAACACGGTACAATTCAGACGCAAAGTACGCGCTTTGAAGACGACCGTTTTGTTGATTCAGCATTTACTGATCCTGATGAGTCATAGTTGAGTGTGCTCTGAAGGGCAGTGCAGCTGTTAAATGATTCCCACTAAATGGTTAACAGCCCCGATAGAGACTCTGTAATGGCTCTGCCGGTGTCTCCGTACAGAAATCGCTGCAGAACTTACAGGATGCCAGCGATGACCTTATGATGTTCGATGACGACGCTCTATTGATCCCTTATCAAATTGGCGACGTCTTCATCAGTCACACCCAGGAAGAAACACAAGAGATGCTGGAGGCTGCAAAGGTACGTTTCTTAATCCCGTTTTTCCTACTCTGTAATCATCAAAGACGTCGTTAGGCCAGAAATGTTTATTGCTTTGGGGTCTCTCACCTCAAAACAATAACAAAAGAAGTTGCGAAATAGTGTGGGATCATGGGAATTGTTGTCTTCGCCATCATTGCAGTCAGCTTCTCCCAGTTACGATTCCTTCAGTGTTCATTGTTCAGGAGGTTTTCTGCCCGGAGACAAATTATCTTTCTATGAAGTTATATTGCCTTTATGTTTGCACCAATCCCTGTGCCTGGTGTAACAGTATACCCTGATAGAAAACAGTTTCTGGCCCCCATTTATCAGGAAACTGAGATATATGTCTGACTATCGTATGAGCTTCCTGTTTTCAAGCAATGGGATTTTTTCATTTGACATTTTCAATACCTCTGTGATTGCCTCATTAGACTGTGTTTTACATCAGTGAGTAGCTGCTGATTAAAAATATCACAAGGTTGATGTCTCAATGTGACTGAAGCCTAAAGTGTTATTAAAAAAGGAACGTTCATGCAACTGAATCCTTTTAAAAATAAATAATTTGTCCCTGTCACGCTTTGTTTTTAAGCTGAAGAACTGAATTGCATTGAAAAAAAGTTTATTTGGTCGAAAAGTTCTGAAAGGTTTTCACGCGATTCATGCACCCGTCTACCCATTTTTCATACGTGGCCTTTTTTCAGCTAATGGGTCCGCTACAGCTGCATGACTGGGGGGGACGTAACACAAGCCCCCCTCCCTAGCTGCCTGATTTGACAGGAAATGCGTACATGTGTGGCAGGAAATAGCACTTCACCTGGACTTTAAGACATAGTTCAACATAATGGGAAGATGCTTCTTCACTTCACTGCCGAGTGTTATGCTACGGCTTGCTTAGTGTAACATAAAGACTCGAAAAGGGGGTGTAACAAAGTAACAAAATCAGCCTATGGCCTAAGTTCCCTTGGCCCCCCTCCCAGGCCGGCTCATGCTCAGACCTCTGTCTCAGGCGTTGTCCAGCCAGATGGGAGTTGCCACTAAGGTGCGCTTGAGATCTCCCTTGGTGCACCTTTAGGAGAAGAGCTGGGCAGTATCAGGGCTTCATGGCTGCTAAAACCGGAGAGATAGCAGTCGTTGACCAAGAGGGACTTTAGATTAGAGCGTGTCCTCCCCTCTGTTACTTCCAGGATCTTCCTGTTTGTTTGCTTTAGCTTCTGTATCATCACACAAGAGGCCTGCACTCATTGATGTGGAGCAGTCTGCTACACACACTGAATCACAAATATGAGAACTCCCTTTATTCAGCTCCTAATATCTGCTGATTAGACTTTAACGCACATTTATATACATACTAATTGTATGGGTTTTTTTTTTCTCATCACATTTTCTCCTCCTGCCTTCAGAATGTGTTTTTACTGACTCAACTTCTAGGAGCAATTTATCAAAGTCGATTTATGGAAATGTCTTAAACACATTGCTGCTTGTGGGGGAAATTGTAGTGGTTGTCATGTAATTGGAGTTTCGTGTTTTGTAATCAGGAAGCACTGGAGCAGGAGGTCAAAGCCCTTGAGGAGCGTGTGTCAGCGATACAGCAAGTGTTGGGGGATCTAAAGGTCCAGCTCTATGCCAAGTTCGGTAACAACATTAACCTGGAGGCAGATGAAAGCTGAGCAGTGAAATGGACATTGACAGCTGCCCCAACGTGGACTTTCTCATGCAGCTCTCGCGTCAGTTCCACAGAGCATTTGCCAAACAAAACATCAAGTAGAACTCGGCATGAACAGCTTAGATTAGTAGCTTCTAGGTTTTGTTTACACGCATGATGTATGCGTCTTCACTTTAGGTTTGGCAAACAAATTCACATGGACGACAAAAGGTAAAGATGTGGAGATAAAATAAATGCACATCATTTCTAATGTATTTTAATTGGTCCCTTATTTAATGCTCGTGTTTATTTTACTCCGTTGATCAAACTGAAGTGAAAAAAGAGGAACAAAGCAGCTGTGTATTATTTTACTAGAAAGTTTTGCATTTTTGTGAATTCTCTGTTTGACTACCCTAAAGGTAGGACAAAATTAACAAAATGTCTCTTTGACACATTAGTGTACTCTGCTGTCTCTGCATTAATGAATGAAAAGTGAAGTCCTTAAAAGTGTTCAAGTTTTGTGGTGTTGCCACGTCAAATTAAGTCCATTAAATTAGTACCACCTGTTACTGATCTACACCTTTGTTGTCTTTTACAAACTGCATAAAATGAAAAGGTAAACTATTTTAAGCCATGAGTCATCAATCAGAAGTGACACACTGAGCTTACATGCATCCAAGATTTTTACAGGCTTGAGGTATGTCTTCTTAATCTGTGGCCAGACGTTGAAGCCTAGCCAGTAAATCCACAGAACTGTCTAAACCTCAGAGACAGAAGACTTTTTAATGTCTGTCTTTTGATCAAATGTGAGTGGTTGTGGTGGGAAATCTTTCTAGAGGGTTGACAGTCAGTGTAGTTCCACCGGGCTTTACTTTGCTGTGTATTAGCTTTCTGAATTTCATTGCTGTCCACATGTATTTGCTTTAACTGGCTATAGCAAATGCTAAGATTACCTGCGAGTGTTTCTTAGCCCCAAAAGAAAGTCTTTTATTTGACTAAACAAATCAGCAGTGCTCTTCCTGGAGGTCTCCCCACACAGTTCTTATTGTGACTGATCATTCATCTACTTAAACAAGTCCTCACATGGATTAGATACTGATGATTAGAGGAGTTGCCAGATTAAAGTTATCTTCAATGGTAAACTTGTGAAACAAAGGGAGGAAAACGACTTCCTTTCCTTACTTTATATATACAATGATCAGGGCTTGTGATTCTTTGAGCATTATTACATTCAGTATATGAATATTAGTGAACTCAAACACATACAGCAACACATTGATCAGAAAACAAATGGGCTTATGGAGTCCTATTCCAAAATAAAACAACACTCACTACTAAAATTACATTTAGTTAAGAAAAAAAGTGATGTAATTATGAAAAAAAGTTAGTTTAGCGGCCCGTGTGGTCCGATCCAACAGGGCACCGACTACTGTAGCTCAGACTTGCCTGAAACAGTTAATGCTTTTCTGATATAAAAGGGGTGCTCCGAACACACAAGTGCATCGACAGTTTGCTTGGTATGGAGCTGCATAAACATTAAGTGTGTGATAGAGGAAGACTTGCAACACGATGGCACCTAATTTATAAACCAAATCCCTTATATGTGATACAGAAATGACAAAGTCTAAATATTACAAGATGCAAATCACGTCCACATCTGTGAGGACTACTGAATGTGTCTGTAAAAATTATACACCAGATAGATAAAATATGTATAATTTATTACAAAAATGACTGTTGCAGAAATTCAGCAAATGAATCCATGAATCAAAATAAGTTAAATATTTTACGACTCAAAGGAGTGAATTTAGGTGAAATTTTAGTCCATTTTGTCTTCTGAATATCTTTGCTTCATTTTTCCAGATAACTCTCTCTATCCGCTGGATGGTTGGTGGCTCCCACAAATATCAACAATGCACAAACCTCATTAAATTGTGCCCTCAAGTGTGGCCCGCATGAGCTAATAAAATATTTGAAAAAAAAAGGAGATGGAGAGCTTGAAGTTATAGCAGAAACCTCTGGAGGATCAAGATCTCAATTAACAAGTTTCTCCTCCCGATAGGTTTCCTGCTGAACATTCATAGCTATGATTAAGAGGAACTCCACCCACACAGGCTTGTCTTTATGCACAGCTTGTTAAACCCCCGGCTCAGAGGAACACACATGGAAATGACTGGACTTATTTCCCAGATGGCCTTGTTTACTCTCTGCCCCCTCTCTCTCTCTTCCTCTGTCTGTTCATTTCTATCTGTCCTCTCACTCCCCTGCTTCCTCTCTAATGACACAGATGTTGATATCTATCAACTGTGCAGTTGTAGTGAACATTAAGAAGTCTTTGACAGATTTTAAATTGGTATGAGTTCTGCTGAAGCAGCCAGTCTCACTAAATTGTCAAATATGTTGGGATGCAGTGTGCCAGAATTTGATGATTCATTGATTAGTGTTTTCCTTAAATTACAGCTGTAGAAAAGGTTTATTAATTAGACTAAAATATGACAGGAACACGATCTGAAGATGTGTCAAAATCAAGTACATACATATGTGATATCCTTGGTTCTTTTAAGCTCAGGCTGTCTGCAGTAATAGCAGAAACAGACCAGAAGGTGTCTCTGTCTCCCCAGTAATTTCACAGAGAAATCAAATAGTTTTGACTAGTATCATGACAACCTCTTTGAGTTTATTGGATATAGCTGCACATTGTAAATATTGTGTTAACATGTCAAACATGTTTCAGGCATCATGGCTCTGGAAGAAGAATTATGAATGAGATGTAGAGGAAATAACGGAAATATCCAAAGGAATACTTAGAGGATGTTTTGTTGCTAAGTGTCATCTTTAACTCAGATTTCATATTTTGGGCTCTATAGGTTCAAAGTGTGATATGCTAGGACCATCTTTTGATCACCCCCCCCCCCCCC